CATTATATATATATATATACAAAATTAATTTCTATATAAATCGAATAATAACGGAATATAAGAAAAAAAAAAAATATTAATAATATAACGGGATCTCGTACGAACAAAAAAAAAACTACTATCCAATACAAAAATAGTCAACGAGGCTAGAATACGTGTATAGAATTAATAACTAGAATAATCACATTTGTGTATTATAAATAAGAAACAACTGTTGTTTAACTGGTAACATGTCACGACTATCTTACGACCATAATTTAGTCATGGAAGTCTATAGCCTTTTACTATAAAGGTGTCTACTTGAATTTCGCTGATTCGTCAGAGGTACCTGAGCACGAAACACTCGAAGCTTATGGTAATATGAGTTTGCCAGTACGTTGGCCATTCATCGACCCTATTGAACATTTATTCATACCACAATACAGCAGCAGGTTATTGTCGTGGTTTTGAATTAACTTGATACCATATATATATATATATATATATATATATATGTATGTATTACTTTTACTTACTCGTATAATCCTGGTTAAAAAAAAAAAATTGTATAGTACTAGATCTGAGTTATTAATCCTAGAGAAAGTGTAACGCTTGTAATAAAATGTTCAATTAAACCACCACCACCACCACCACAACTACCACTACTAGCACAATCACCAGATAGTTTTGTATATAAGGAACTAATTATTGGTACATACTATGATTTGTTTTCTTTCTTTTCTTTTTTATTATGGAATCTATTTTTTTAGAAAGTATGTGCGAGTCAATTCACCTATAACACGGTTATAACGTTTTATCGTGTCTTGTGAGAAACAATATAAATATATACGGTATAATGTATTCTACATTGTTACCGTCATAGCCGGAAATTGCATTCTCTAACATTTTTTGAACCTTTGCAAATCAATTTATAACTCGATATGGTATTCTACGCGTATGTAGTTCGATGTGAACTCACAGAATTATCAGAGATTGGTATACTGTAAATTGTACAGCTTTGCTATTTTTTTGAAAAGTTTTGGTCAATATTTTTAATACTAAAAGTTAATAGATTTTAATGATTCTTATTTTAAATTAAAGTACA